AATGACGTTAATAATGGGGCCAATAATAATAAACACTTGTGATGATAGCAGTAAACAGCTGCTTTGAGCCAGGCGCTGCTCTGAGTGCTTCCCAAATACTAACGCTCTCAATTCTCACCATGGCGCCCTGGGGCCAATGTGCTCCAGCACTGACACATGTTAGAGTTTAGAAAGACCTTGGGGTGATTATGTCACACCCCCAGTGGGGTCTGGGGCAGCACCGTAAAATCATTTCCATTCATATTTCCTAAGGGACACATGAAGGGGGGTAAAGGAAGACTATATTTAGCTTCACTTCTGTTTCAGGTTCGACTTGGCCACCAAATGAGTTGTAAATGATATTTTTGGTTTCCAAAGTTTGTTTGTTTGTTTTTAATTTCAGAATTGCAAATAAGGGACAGTGGACTCTGTTATTATTGTGTGGTGTTAAGAGTTACTTTACCTCAAGCATTTTGGCCTTTGTCCCTGGCCTCTGTGAGGAGCTGGGCTACGTTGGCCACACCTGAGGACTTGTATTAATGAGTAGGAGCCAGTCTGGGAGGCCACCTGGTAACCAATGAGTGTGCAGATGGGCTGATAAAAGCCCGAAATGAAATGCACGAAGGCTCAGAGAAGCTTCCTGAGGGGCAGAACCCTGGAAGGGGAGCTTCCTGCGGAAGGATGTACCCTCTGCATCGGGGACCTTTCCAGACTTCACCTGAGTACCTCTTCATGTTACTCCTTTACCCTAATAAACCATATAACTGTATTTCATATGTGAGTTCTGTGTGCCGTTGCAGCAAATTACAGAACTCAGCAGAGAAACAGAGTTGGGGGGGTTGGAGAAGGGCGAGGTTGGTGAGGAGACAATGGAGAAGCTGGAAAGCAGTGATATACTTTACCTCTGCCTCCTAGAAACGACCTTTGTGCAATTCTTATTCACGAAATTATTCATTTGTGTTGTCATTGGACAAATGAAGCCACTGAGAGGCTGAGGAGTTCCAGAGTTGAGGCCCTGCGCTACCTCTATTTCATGAAAGTATTGCAGTCCGAGCTAACTGCAACCCTGGTGGGGGTGGGAGGTTGGGCAGGTTTACTCTCCTAAATTTATAGAAGTGGACCCCACACTCAGAGACTACATGCCCTGCCCGGGACTGCCAGCCTCCTGCCGCTGTCATGGGGCAGGAAGGGCAGCGGGCAGCCCTGGAGACCACTCGCACCCACTTGCCCAGGAGGCCTGGAGAGTGGGGCCCAGCTTCTCTCTAAAGACCTTTCTTCTTCAGGCTCAAACAAGGCCCGCATCCCCAGCTGGGCCTCATCTGCAGGAATAAACACCACCAAGGGCATGTCTATTCTTCCACGAGGATTTACAATGTGTTAGGAAAGAAAAAATAAATCATTCATTCTAACTCAGGCAAGAGAGTGGCGCCAAAACTTCCCCAGCAAAGCCAGGAAATTTCCCTCTGCCTTCCAGAAAAGGAGGTGGGCCAAGGTAAGCTAGGCTGGGACCAGGGGGTGTGGGGTATGGAGCCTGCGGGTGGTGGGGTAAGGCAGAGGAGGAGGCAGTGGGGTACAACGGACAGAGGCTGGACCAGAGTCGGGAGACCTGATTCTCCAGACAAGCCCTGCTCAGGGGCTGTGGGACTCCCCCGGAGCTTGGCTCCGCAGTCAAGCAGAGATTTTACCAACCCATGAGGGCAGGGAGGGCAGTGTGACACAGAAGGAGGGCATGGGCCTTGGGTCAGCGGTATCAGGGTGGAAATCTCCACTCTGATGCATCCCAACTATGTGACTATGGCCAAAGTCACTTCACTTCTCTGGGCCTGTTTCTTAAAGTGGAAAATGGTTGTAAAAATGCAATGTATGTAAATTCATCTCCTGGCATGTGGCTGGCACCAAACAGATGGCGGGGGGGATGGAGGGCGGGCTTTACTACTGTTAAGTGGTGAGACACAAGGGGTGAGAGGGTGAACTGCCCAAGGGACTCCCAAAGAGATGACCAACTTCTGAGTCAAAGGAAGCAGCTCACTGGGGCCTGGCTCTTATGCACTCTGATCATAATGTACCATGGGCTGGGCCCCAGAGAAGTCTCAGTTGCTGTCGCACTGAAATGAAGACCTGACCCACAACCCTTTCACTTGGAAAGATGCTTGCTTGCCTTCCTTAACCACTGGCTTCCTGTTTAATAGCCAACCACGCTTCCTTTTGTCTATGGAATCCACAGTTTCCCCTTTTGCCTTGGCTTCCAGGAAGCTCAGCACTTAAGTTAGCCCTCAGCTGCTGTATCTATATTGTCTTCTGGCTTTAGGAAAAATGGCCTTCCCTTTCTCAGTGTGGGTTCTGATCTCTCTCATTTTGATTTTAGTTACCTGATGCCTATATTGGGAGCCAGCTCCATTTCCCCCAGGAAACAGGCTGGGTGTAGATTATAAATAAGTAAAGCAGACTCTGGTAGGAACCACTACATCAAAAATTTCACCAGAAGGCAGGCTGCTTGGTTCAAATCCTGGCTCTGCCGTTTACTAGCTGTGTGAACTTGGGCAAGTTGCTTAACTTCTCTGTGCCTCAGATTTCACATCTGAAAGTGGGAAAATTCATAGCACTGACCTAGGATTGTTGTGAGAAACAAAAAATTAAATATGGTATGTGTTATTGGTATGTGTTATTGATTGAATTGTGTTCCTCAAAAAATGTGTGTCCACTTGGCTAGGTCATGATTTCCAGTATTGTGTGGTTGTCCTCTATTTTGTGTTCTGATATAATTACCTATGTGTTGTAAATCCTAACTTCTAAGATGTTAATGAGGCAGGATTAGAGGCAGTTATGTTAAAGAGGCAGGATGCAATCTACAGGATTAGGTTGTATCTTGAGTCAATCTCTTTTGAGATATAAAAAAGAAGCGAGCAGAGTGAGAGAGGGCCCTCATTACCATCAAGCAAGAAGAGCTAGAAGCGGAGTGTGTTCTTTGGACTGGGATCCCTGTGCTGGGAAGCTCCTAGACCAGGAGAAGATTGATGACGATGACCTTCCTCCCGGAGCTGACAGAGAAATCCTTCCCCTAGAGCTGGCACCCTGAATTTGGACTTCTAGCCTCCTATACATGAAAGAATAAACTTCTGTATGTTAAAGTCATCCACTTGCAGTATTTCTGTTACAGCAGCACTAGATAACTAAGATGGAATGTTGAGAACACTTAGTACCAAGCATGTTCTAAGTTAAGTGTTAGTTGTTGATGTTGTTGTAATGTTTTCTTAGCCTCCTTCCAAGAGGAATCTGTGACAACTTGACCTTCAAGTGGTAAAATGCAGGAATTTCAGGAAAGAAGCTTCTGTGTCTTTAACTGCCCAGAGCCAGCCTGGCTGCTGGCTCTGCTAATCCCATCAGTGGACAAGAACTCAGAGCACTGGAAGGAGGCATGGCCCCAAGGCCCAGCTGGGCCACAGGCATGTGCAGGAGTCCAGGGTAGGAGGGTGAACTCTGGGCTTGGAGTCAGGGCTCCTCGGCTCTCACCCTGGCATGGCCACTGACCGGTGTATGCCCTCGCCCACCTCACCTGCAGAATGGGAACTCTTGCACTGCTGTGTGAGGACGCAGTGAGGATCAGTGGGGAAAAAAGGCAAAATCTGACACTGTACTCAGTAGACGATGTGTGCTGAGTCAACCGCAGGGATGGCGGGGGTTTTAGTTACTACTCTTGATGATGCTATTACTAATCTCTTTGAGCATCTGTTCCCCCACCTGGCAGCATAACATGTACACTGCAAGCTGCGGTGAGGATGAGATAATGTATGTCAGGCTTCTAGAGCAAGCGCACATAGTAGGTGTTCCATGAATGATAAATGTGACAGTCACCATTGACTGTCAGCCAGACCTTCTCAGCTCCCCTCTCTCTGTGCCTCTGTCTTTAGAGTCTGGAAGCTGGGTACTTGCTTTCTCAGCCTCGCTTGAAGGCAGGATGTCCCTGTGATCCTGTCTGGGGAAGTCTGCTGGAGGCCTTGCTTTTCTGATAAAAGAGGTGGCCATGGTTGACATTGCCTCTTTCCCCTTCTTCTGGACACAGCAGTGCAGATGTCAGGCCTGGCACTGCAGCAGCCATCTTGTGACCATGAGCTAAGTGGCATGATACAGAAAAGCTGTCACGGTGTGAACAGATAGTCAGAGCCTGGGTCTCTGAGCTTCCAAATTAGACTTTTGGTTAAGTCAACAGCAAATGTTCTTAGAGTTTCAGCCACAGTCAGTCTGATTTTCTACGTCTCAAAGCTGGCCCCCTCCCCTCTGACACAGGACTAATGTTGTGTTATCAGTGTCCTCCCTGGGCCGTGTCTGTAGATGGATTTAACACTTGCTAAAGTGTCTTGAAGGAGCCCTGGTGGTGCAGTGGTTAAAGGACTCAGCTGCTAACAGAAAGGTCGGCAGTTCGAACCCACTAGCTGCTCTGTGGTAGAAACGTGGCAGTCTGCTCCCGTAAAGATTTACAGCCTTGGAAACTCTATGGGGTAGTAGCTACTCTGTCCTATAGGGTCGCTGTAAGTCGGAATCAACTCGACAGCAGTGGGTTTGTTTTGTTTTGTTTTTTAAGGTATCTCGATAAATAACAAGAACGAGCATTTATTGAGTGCTTACTGGGCCACATACTGGGCTAAGGGTTTCACTAAGATAATCTGACTGGATCCTCAGCAGCAACCCTGAGAATTAAGTTTTATTATTGTCCCCATTTTACAGATGGTAAAACTAAGGCATAGAGAGGCAAGCAGCTTGCCCAAGGCTACATGGTTAAAAAGTGGAGGGGTAGAACTGAGATTCAGGCCCAGGCTGAGACTCCACCCACACATGCTGCCTTCTCTAACATTCTACCATTTGATCATGAGGGACAGGAGGTCTGTCTAGGAGGCTGCCCCTGGTATCTACTGGGTTTGTCTGTGACAACAGAGAGGCTTCTTGTCTATCCCCCACCTCCAGGGCCAATCCCCTGTGTGGCTGGTCTAGCCCGAGGAGGAGGGGTGGGAGATGAGGGTGCTTACCTCGCCCGTTTTGAAGTAGAAGACGGTGCCAGCAACCACCTGGACAATGAGGATCAGGAGGAGGAAGGCAAAGTACTGGGGACACAGAGCAGGCACAGAGTCAATGTGGGCTCCCCAGCCAGGTGCACCCATCCCTCTCCCCTCAAGAGATGCTCTCCACCCTGAAGTCCTGCCAGGGCTGGGCGGGCGGCAGGAGAGGGTCTATACTCACCACCCCCAGCAGGCAGCGGACCTCGTTGACGGCACCAATGCAGCCCAGGAAGCTCATGAGCATGGTGAAGGCCCCCACGCTCATGAAGACGTAGGACCCCACCCTGAGTGAGTTGGAGGAAGTCTCTGAAGGGGAAGGAGAGAGGGGAGTTTGCTTCAGCCAGCTGGCCCACCTCACTAAGTCCAGAATCAGGGGCGGGGCCCCTCCTCAGAGTCAGGGTGTGAGGGTCAGTCATCTTTCCCTGCTGGCCTCTTGCCACCTGTCATGGATTGAATTATGTCCCCCAAAAAATATGTGGGTCATGATTCCCAGTATTATACGATTATGTACCATTTTGTAATCTGATATGATTTCCTTATGTGCTATAAACTCTATCACTATGATGAGGCTATATGATTTCCTTATGTGTTGTAAACTCTATTACTATGATGAGGTTATACTAAAGAGGTCTACAAGATTAGATAGTGTCTTAAGCCAATCTTTTTTGAGATATAAAAGAGAGAAGCGAGCAGAGACACATGGGAAACTCATACCACCAAGAAAGCAGTCCCGGGAGCAGAGCGTGTCCTTTGGACCTGAGGTTCCTGCGCTGAGACGCTCCCAGACCAAAGGAAGATTGATGCATCACAAGGACCTTCCTCTAGAACTGACCGAGAAAGAAAGCCTTCTCCTGGAGCTGACGCCCTGAATTTGGACTTGTAGCCTACTGGACTGTGAGAGAATAAACTTCTCTTTGTTAAAGCCATCCACTTGTGGTATTTCTGTTAAAGCAGCACTAGATGACTAAGACACCACCGAACAAGGAACCTGCCCCCTCTCACCGTTGGAAGCTGCCTACCCTGTCTCAAACTGTGACCCATCCTGGCCTCTGCCACTTCCTCACTCCATCTCTGCTTTATTTTTCTTCTTTAGCACTTATCAGGATTGAACAGACTCTGCATTTCACTGGTTTATCTTGCTCCTGGTCTGCCTCCCCGACAAGAATGTAAGCTGCATGAAGGCAGGGACTTGGTTTATTCCTGCTGGACCCGCAACTCCAGGAACAGGGCCTGGCACACGAGGTGCTCTGTGAATACCTGCAGGCACTGGGAACAGCAGAGACAAAGGTGTAGGAAGCAGTAAGCATGGTATATTTGGAAAATAGAAAGAAGATGAGAAAGAATGGAGGGGTGTGAATGACAGAATGGAAGGGTGATGGCTGTGCTCAGAGGTTATGGCTGAGCTGCTTGTGAACGAGCCCACCGGCTGGGTAGGGGTTGGCAGTCCCATCAGGACACTTGCCCAGTATTTTCCAAGAAGCCCAACAGATCATAGAGGCCAAAGCTTAGCCCAGTTTCCAGCCCTGGGAAGCGGGGAATGCTCTAGACCAAGGGGCGGTGGTAGGGTGGGGGGATGTGTTTCCCCACAGGCGGCAGCTACAGACTTGCTCCCAGGCCAGTCCCAAATGCTCTGGAAGTCGGCTGGGGATGGATGTTTTCAGAAGGATGCATCTTAGCAATGCAGATTCCTGGGTCCATCACAAACACTCTCCCCAGGAGAAGGCCTGGAATCTACATTTTTAATGTGTTCCCCTAAGGACTGAGGCACAGTCAGGGTTGATAGGTGACCTTCAGGGAGAACACAGGTCTGGGTGGCCTTGACTCCCCAGGGGACCTGAGGCTGAGATTCCACCTTGGCCACAAGGGGCATTAGAGTCCTTAGTGATGGTGACTACAAAGCCGGAGGGTGGGTGGGGAGGAAGGCATATGATTTAGTTCCACTTCCTGGACACAGAATGTTCTGGAGCTCAGGAAGAGCTCTGGCTGGCCCATTCCTACTCTCAGGGTACAGGGGCAGGGCTGCCCCCAGGAAGCCCAGCTGAATCCTGCTGGGGTGAACGGCCTGGTCTGGAGTGTCAACCTCTTCATTCCCAGGCCCTCACTCCCCTGACTCTCAGCAATTTACATGAGCAGGGAGAGGCCTTCAAATTGCATTCTTCTGAAGCTTCCTGGGCTTGGTTCCAGCAAGTCTTCCCAGAAAGAGGAAGTGGCACTGCCTGGAAATCCATCAGGTGCCAGGCCAAAGTAGGCCCTTTATCCAAGCTGTCCTGCTCAGTTTCCACCAATAGCCCTGTGAGGGTGCAATTTGCATTCTGACTTGTGTATAAGGACCCCAAGGCCAAGAGACACCGAGGTGTCCAGCAGCAAGGACGGGGGCCGAGGTCCCTGCTTGGGTCCTTCCCCATGGGCCAGCCAACCTCCACAGTCTGTGTCTCAGAACATTTCGTTGACATCAGCCCCTGTCCTCACCCAGGGTCTTGGCCTGCCCTGAATCTGAGCAACCTGACCTAGAAAGGGGGCAGGTGCATATCCTGGGGTACCCACCCACCCCAGATGGCAGACAAATCCCTTTCGTCTTGCTGAGCCCAGCAGGGCTCACGGAGGTAGAGGGGCCCAACCTGAAAAGGACTGGGTCCAAGAGAAGTGGGTTCTAATCGGAGTTCTACTGCTAATGTGCTCTGACCTGGGCAAACCCTCTTCTGGGCCTCTTATTTTTCTCTGTAAAATGGGGCTAATAATTCCCACTTCTTAAAGATGCTAAAAGGATGAAATTTTATATAATTCATTTAACTATTTAACTATTCATCAGGAGTTGTTCTAAACTCTTTTCAGATAATAACTCATTCAATGTCTCAATAACCTTGTGAGGTGTGTTTTATTATTATCCCCTTTTTATGGATGAGGAAACTGAGGCACAGAGAGGTGAAGAAACTTGCCCAAGGTCACACAGCTAATTGGTAGCAGAGTCAGGCTTTGAACCTTGACTCCAGAGTCTGTGCTCTTGCTTTCTCTCATTAAGGTGCCAACACGCGGTGTGCAGCAGAGGCACGCGGTACAGGGGTTAAGGGTATGCGCTTAGGGAGCCACTAGCCTGAGTTCGAATCCCAGAAACGCCACCTTCTAGTTATGTGGTCTTGGATAAGTTACTTCTCTTCTGTATGCCTCGGTTTCCTCTGTAAAATGGGGATAATGTCTAGCCCCATAGACGTGTAATGAGGATTCAGTTAGTTAAGGTAAGAAGCTGTGTCGCATAGAACCAGCACATAGTAGGTCAGGAGCCCTGGGTTCCCTGCTTTGACCCTAACTTGCTGTATGACTCTTAGCGAGTCATTTCTCCCCTCTACTAGCTTCAGTTTACCCAGGTGTGTAGTAAGTGGGTTAGCAGGTCTGTTTCTGAACCTGGCTGCCTGGGGACTCACTGAGCAAACTTAAAAACACCAGTGTGCAGGCTCCACACCTGCCCTCTGGAATCGGGTCCTGTGGGGTGGAGCCCGAGGAATTTGTAAAAAGTATCCCGTGCACTTAGAGGACCTCCAAGGCCTGGCCAGCTGCAGATTCTCAGCCCCGCATAGGGAGGAGGCCACAGAAGGGCTGGGCTGGGGTACAGAGGGCAGAAATGCGGGTGGGCGGGCTGAGCATCTAGACTTTGCCCTGTGGCGCAGGGCCTGCTGGGTGTGGGCCATGGCCCAGGAGCAGGAGCCTGGGCCTAGCCAGGGTCCAGCGGTGAGTGTCGTGTTAGAAGGGTGTGGGGAGAGTGGGTACCCAGCTGAGGCAGGCTGAAGCAGAATACCCAGGCCCTGCCCCCGGAAAGGGGGTGCAATCTGCAGCCCTGCCCCCCGCCAGTAGGAGGCTGGACTGACGCCCCAGGGTGCACTGGCTGTGGCTGGAGGGTAGATTGTCCTGGCTTCCCACCACATGCAGGCGAGGCCTGATCCCCTGGGACAGGGTGACAGGTGTGGCCCTTCCATCACCCATGCCCAGCCTGGTTCCGTTTTATTCAAATCAGGCAGCTGTCATGGGCCTGAGTCCAAAGCTGCTGCTGTAGGCAGCTGCTGGGAGGGGAAGTGAATGTGGAACGCTCTCAGTGCAGGAGTGGTGTCACTGTGCTCCTTGGGAGTCCACGAGTGGCCAGTGCAGCAAGCCCAGCAGGCTGCCTGGAGGAGACTGAGCAGACCCCAAAGAACTCTTATCACCTGGCAAGAATGCCTTGGGCTTCTCTCCTTCCTGCTTCCTCTAAAAGAGTGAAAGAAGGGGCTTCTCTTCATGGCTCACCCTGCCATATGCAGCTTTGAGGATCAAAGCTTTTGGGGTTTGAATCCCACATCGACTACTCAGAAGCTGTGTGAACTGCAGCAAGTGACTTAACTTCCCTGAGCCTCTCTTCTTCATTTGTAAGGCAGAATAGAATAGTATCTTCCTCACAGGGCTATTGTGGGACTGTTGTTAGGTTCTGTTGAGTTGGCTCCGACTCATAGTGACCTTATGTATAAGGCTCAGTCCTGTGCCATCCTCCCAATAGCAGGTATGTTTGAGCCCGCTGTTGCAGCCACTGTGTCAGTCCATCTCGTTGATCATTTATATATGCAAAATGCTTAGCACCACGCTTGGCACATAGCGAATGTGATTAAATGGAAGCTGCCCTTGGCACCTTCCTCATTTGTGCACGTGCCCGACCTACCTCGCTGGTGCCCTTTGGCCACACCTGACAAGCTGCCTTCCCCGGCTCTTTCCAATATCCCTCCACAATGGGAAGGGGAGGGACTATTGCCCACACTTGCTGAACAAGCAAATGGAGGGACAGAGAATGTAAGAAACTTTCTCAAGGTCAGGGCCAAGGGAAGGGGCCAGGATGAGAAAGCTAGTCTCCCTCACCCCTCAGTGTTCTCCACACAACAGCAGCTTTGTTTGGGGAGGGAGAGAAAATTCCTTCCAGAAACCCCCGCAGAGGGCCCATGGTGTGGCAGCCAGCAGCAGGACCTGGCAAGGTCCTGAGATCAGCTGGAAAACCGACAGCCATTGAGGGTAAGCTCCTTGTGGGAGAGGCCTTGCCTACTGCCCTGCCTTCCCCTCCACAGCAGGCCAAGGGCAGGGGATGCAGAGGGGTCCTTACGTAGGACAGAGATGAAACTGCTCTTGTCAACCAGGATCCATACTCCGAAACCCAGGATCACTGCACCCAGGATCTGGAAAGAGAAGGTGCGTTTAATGAGGAGTTCGAGTGGGTGGGGTGCAAGGGTCCCTCCCAGCTGCCCCTGAGGGTCAGGCCAGGGAGGGATGAGCAGGGAGACACAGGGGGAGCCACCTCCATCCTTCCGCAGCCCATGGAGGCCAGGATGACCTCAGGCTCCATACCCCAACTCCCTGGCCAACCCAGCAAACCAAGCAGCAGGGCCACATGTGGGCATCATTCCTGCCCACCCCATTGCCCACGTGGTCAAGCTGAACCTACTGGCTCCATGGGGCCCAGCCTCCTGCCCAGGGGTCTCCTGGCCCTTTCTTGTGCTCATTCCCCCCACCCCAGTCCAACTCAGGGGCTGGGAGCTTCCCATACAACCCAGGTTCTGGAGAAGACCCTCCATGGGCTTGAACATCAAAGTCCAAACTGTCCTTCAGCTCCAGGACCACCTCCTCTGGGAGCCTTCCCTGACTCCCCCAGGCAAACTTGTCGTTGTATGCTGTCAAGTCATTCCGACTCATAGTGGCCGATAACGACAGGGTAGAACTGCCCAACAGGGTTTCCAAGGCTATAAACCTTTACAGAAGCAGACTGCCACGTCTTTGTCCTGCGGAGCAGCTGGTGGGTTCAAACCGCCAACCTTTGGTTAGCAGCTTTAACCATTGTGCCACCAGGGCCGTTCTAGAAAAGTTACAGCCTTGGAAACCCTATGGGGCAGTTTGACTCTGTCCTGTAGGGTCTCTACGAGTAAGGCTGTAATTTTTATAGAACAGCCCTGGTGGCACAATGGTTAAAGCTGCTAACCAAAGGTTGGCGGTTTGAACCCACCAGCTGCTCCGCGGGACAAAGACGTGGCAGTCTGCTTCTGTAAAGGTTTATAGCCTTGGAAACCCTGTTGGGCAGTTCTACCCTGTCGTTATCGGCCACTATGAGTCGGAATGACTTGATGGCAACAGGTTAATCTTTACAGAACTAAACTGTAACTGTAGGACTAGAAAGGGAAATGAATGAGAGGTGACTGGCATAGGCCCCAGGATTCCCTGCCGCCCTCCCCCCGCACCAGCGAGAGGGCCCACAACCTGAGCTCACCTCCCCAGATGCAGTCCCAGCCAAGACCACCAACCCACAAAGCTGGGGAAGTACCTGCGGTCTGGGCAAAGGCACAGATTCCCTCATGAGGTTGGTCTTCACCTGGGGCCTGCCTGGGCCCACCTGGGAGATAAGCCACGAGGCGTGTCCCAGCCCCTCTAGGATGCCACCTTCACTTCCATCATCAGCCCTGCATTCCCCTTCATCCAAAAAGCCTTTGCTGAGTCCCTGACGAGGTCAAGCGCCCTCATTATCTGCCTTCCTAGGAGTCGTAGCCTTCATTCCCAGCATTCACCTCAACTGCACTTTTATAATCCCTTTGAGTATTCATTTGATTAAGCCCCTTCTCCACCCCACCCCCACCCCAGAACATAAGCTCTGTGGGTGCAGAAACCACGGCTGAGACTGTCTACCCAGTACCCAGGGCAGGGTCCAAATCCACAGATACACATTTGTTGAGTGACTGATCGGTGAACGAATAAATACAGTCTCCTCTAACCACTTTCCCTCTTACCTGCCTCTAATAAAAGCTTCCTCCTCCCTCCACACCCTGGGCTCCAGCACACAGAGAGTTAACACCTAACTCCTGCTGGTCCCCAGTAGCAGCTGGCTGAGTCCCCCCGGACAGGGCCCCAGACTGGCCCCCCAAAGCTGGCCTGAGAGAAGCTTTTCCAGTCTCTGGCTCCACAGGGCAGCCTGGGAGCAGGACAGGAAGGGACGCCTGGCCAAAACCATCAACCATCTCCTTTTCTCCACAAGGTCTCGGCTCCTCCACTGCATGGGGAAGGGGGAGGATCCAGGCTCTTAGACCCTGAACCCCAAGAACTCTGCCTCCTAGACACCTAGCCCAATCCTTCTCTCCAGTCCTTAAACCCCCAGGATGGAGCCATGGGGCCACCACCCCTGCATCCTGGCAGCTGGCCCTTTAAGCCGGGCCTTGGCCCAGGAGCCAAGGGCCTGTCAGGGAAAGCCTGGCTCTGGCCGCCTGAGCAGCTGCTTCTCAGAGGACTGGGCCATCCCAGAGGGGCTGGACCACCAGGCTGGGGAAGCCCCAGCGCCCAGGCCCTGCTCCGGGTGGGTTCCAGGCCTGGCTGTGGCCTGTGGAAGGCCAGTCACAGTGTGGCTTCAGCATAGTCCATGAACACATCTGTGAGTATCTGTGTGCTGCATTAACGTTTAGGGATGGGAGAGGGTGTGAGGATGATCCTTTATTTCCCAAACTTTCTCTAATCCTACGTAACTTATATTTTAAAACTATTATTTCACAAGTAATTCATGTCTATTGTAGAAAATTTGGAACACACAGAGAAACAAAGAATAAAATAAAAATTCCCAGGAATCCCAACAGTAACGGCCTGGGGTATTTTCTTCTCCTCTTGAAAAATAGTCATGGATGTGTACAATTTTTTAAAATAGAGTTGGGTCCTGATAAACATCCTATTGAATAACTTGTTGTTTAACAGCATAGGATGAGCCAATGACATGGAGATGCTACAGTGTGTGAGTAACGAGAGGCCACCGCCCAACACCACCCGGGCTATGAAGGCAGCTTGAGACACCTCCCCACCTCCCCCTGCCCCCACTCTCACACACACACCATCATCCTGGCAGCTCCAAGGCAGCAGGAGTCAGTCGGTGCCAGGCCAGAGAGGAAAATCCAGGCCCCAGGAAAACCAGCTCCAGATGTGCTGTGGAGCTGACATCTGGATGGCCCCACGGTCTGGGGGACCCTAGTGAACCCTACCAGGGTGGGTCTGGGGAAGGCAGAATGTGTCCCCCCAAGAGTCCCCCTGAACCCCATCTGGCCCGGAGTCTGGCTTCCTCTTGTCCACCCTATCGGAGCTCAGGGAGAGTCCCCACAAAGTGGGGAGGGGTGTTGTGGGGCAGTTGAGAGTCAGAACTGAAACAGGTAAGTTCAGAGGCAGTAGAGAAGGGTGAGGGGATCAGGATGGGACCAGAGAGATTCCAGAATCTCTGGGAGATGCCAGGAGGCTCCTCCTAACAACTTCTTGCTGATGAGTTGGGGGGATACCCCAAGGGGCTCTTCTCTCCCCACACCCCCTCCAGCCCTGCCCAGCCCAGGCCTTGGTGCTCTAGGGCAGGGGAAGGCCAGGGGAGGAACCCACTGCATTGCCAAAGAGCCAGCTGGGAACTTCTGGAATCTCCTCACTACCCCCACTTGATCCTAAGGTTTGTCCTCAGCCCCACCAGCCACACCCCAACCACCCATCTCCATGGCCTGGACATTTGAGGGTCTTGGGCTGTGATGCCCCTGGGTGGAGAGTTTTGTTGGGGTAGTTGGGGCAGTGCTGGCCGTACTTACAAAGAACAGCAAGTTGAAGAGAAAGAGAAAGTACTTGGTGACTTTGATACAGGCTGACCCCATCCTGCTGGTCCTGGAGCTCCCTGGGAGAAGAAGAAGGCAGGTAGGTTCAGTGTGGGGCAGGACTGGGCCTGGGAAGGGGGACCAGACGGTACCCATCATCTGCTAGCCCCAAATCATCTCAGTCCACCCTCACAACAACCCCACGAGGTAGGTGCTAACATTGTCCCCATTTCCCATGCACTAAAGCCCAGAGAGGTTAGATGGCAGGCCCAAAGTCACACAGCTAGGAAGTGAGGTCCTCTGAGCAGGCTGCTTGATGTTTGACTGGTATGATCTGGGCTCAGCCACTCCACCAGAGCTGGGGCTGGAAGAAAATTATGTAGGGAGACCCTCCCCTCCAAAACCCCAGGCTCTGAGACTCGTCCAGCTGGGCTCTGGTCAAAGTCAGCAGACAAGGGAGTTAGGAAGTTAGTGACTGATAGGACTGAGGTGACACCTGTGGCTTGTTCCACAGACTCATGGACTTCCTCCAGGCCTAAGGGCTGGGGCTGCCGGGGTAAGAATGAGAGCTCCGGCTCTCTCAGAAAATGGGCCAAGGGTCCTCTGCCTCAACCTTCTTACTACATTCAACAAATACAGTAAAACACATATAAAACAAAAATTACCCATCATCTCACCCACCTCAGAAATAAAAACTGTTGTCATTTTTGTAGCTATATTTCCTGTGTGTGTGTGTTTGTGTGTGTGTGTGCGCATGTGTGTGTATTACAAATGGTTTTAGACAAAGCTGGGTTCACACTGTGTAGCGTGTTTTGTAGCCTGATTTTTCCATTCTACAATACATTAGGAAAATCTCTGTATGCTGATGAAGGAGTCCTGGTGGTACAGTGGTTAAGTGCTTAGCTGCTAACCAAAGGGTCCGTGGTTTGAACTCACTAGCTATGCTGCGGAAGAAAGGTGTGGCAGAGAAAGATGTAGTAGTCTGCTTCCGTAAAGATTACAGCCTTAGAAACCCTATGGGGCAGCTCTACTCTGTCCTATAGGGTCTCCATGAGTCAGAATCGACTCGATAGGAATGGTTTTGTATGACAAAATGTCTTTTTACAACATACTTTCATGTTACATAGGAGTCCATCTTATTAATCACTGTTTATTAACATTTTGGGGGTCAGATACTCCCCAAGAAAATTTACATATAGATAACATTTTACAAACAATTTCTAGGGGTTCACAGAACCCGGTGAAGCCCATTCAGGAACCCTCAGGACTGAGGTTAAAGTCGCATAGAGAGCTACACCACAAAGCATTTATCCAGTACTCTAAGACTGGACACACAAGTTGTTTCCAATTTTTCAGTCACCCTGGGTGACACAACTTCTGTACAGATACGAGACAAGCCATGCTTGAGCATGCCATGCCCTCCACCCCAAAGGATCCCAGGTAGGGGTAAAACTCAGGAAGGGAAGAAGAGGAGAGCTGGAAACCAGACAACCAAGGAATAATAGCCACCAGCTGCAGGCCCTGTGTGACAAGGGAAGCCAGCTCTGGGTGGCTGGGCCTGGACAGCTGGCCTGGGACAGCTGCATGGACAGAGCTGCACACCAGGCCCAGTCAGGTTCCCACTGCCCTATGGAGGGGGACGGGGAGAGGCAGGCCACAGAGCAGAAGAGAAGCTGGGCCCAAGGCATGGGCTTCACCCCTTCCTTCTCCTACAAAGGCTGAACCCATTGCTGTCGAGTCAATTCTAACTCATAGTGATCCTAAAGGACAGAGCAGAACTGCCCCATAGGGTTTCTAAGGCTGTAAATCTTTACGGAAGCAGGCTACTACATCTTTCTCCATGGAGCAGCTAGTGGGTTCAAATCACCGACCTTTTGGTTAACAGCTGAGCATTTAACCACTGTGCCACCAGGGCACCTTCAAGGGCTGAAAGGCAGTCCTAAAAGTCCTGCAAAGCTCCCCTGTGTGTACATCTGTCCACTGCTCTCTGGACAGATGAGAATTCAGGGCTGGACAAGATCTCAAAATTGATCTCCTGCTAGCAATCTTCTCTCTACCATCCTTGTTAAAGTGGGAGCTCAGTTTCTACTTTATAGCAGACAAGGGGGATGGGAAATGTCACTATTTCTCAAGGAGTCCATTTCAGCCTTCTGATAGCTCTGTTAGAGAAGGCTTTCTTTAGCTGCCTTCTTGTGGGTCAGATTCAGGCTCAAGATGAAGCAAAGCTGTCCAGAGAAGGCTAAGGCTGCCTGGGTGGTAGTGAGCTCCCAGTCACAAGGGGTATGGAAACAAAGTCTGACTAAATACTTATGGGGAATTAAGGTGCCACATGGGAGTGATTAGACTAAATGGCCCTTCGTGTCTCCCAGGGTCCAAGACAAGGGTCTGGGAATGGCAGAGATGGTAGTGACTCAGGAGGCAGAAGTCCAGCCTCAGCAACTCCTCCAGGGACCTCACCCAGAGCTGGAGAGGAGAAAACAAGGAGCCCCCATGTCTGGAGAGCCAGAGATACGAAATCCCCAAACTCAGGCTGGCCTGAGTGACGCCCACCCCAGGATGCTCCACATAAAGGAAAGCTATTGTTTCTGTCTCTCCCCCCAGCACAGCGCCTGACATACCACAGACACTTGTGCAGAACCCAGCAGGGAGAGAGGAAAGACTCTCACAGAGCCAGGCGTGTTTGTCTTTCCTACACGGACCTGCTTTGTTTCATCCTGGCTGGGTCTCCTCCCAGTCAAAGCCACGGCCCGCCCAGCCTCAGCCCCAAGCAGCATGTAGATAAATAAATCATTGCTCCACCAGAAAAATGCATCTAAATGTGCTCCAGCTGCCGGAGGCATGAGCAGGGTGCCTTTTGCCTTCTCTGTGAAATTGGAGAAGTGTGGAAATCGTTCTTTGGCAATTCTGCATCAGGCCCGCTCTCTTGCACACTTCCAGAGATTTCTAAAATCCAGGAGATTTCTACACTTCCTGGCTCACACATCCTGGGGTTAGGCTGCATCTCCGCAGCCACCTCACAGGGGGTGGGGGCATTCAGAAAGGGGCAGTTTTTAGAAAAGAGTAAATAGCTGGTCAGCTGAGGGAGGAGTGGCTGCCCGTCAACAGCGCCTACTATGAGCACCTAAGGACTCCTGGTGGCACTGTATTAAGCACTCAGCTGCTAACCAAACGATCAGTGGTTCGAACCCACCAGCCACTCTGCGGGAGGAAGATGTGGCAGTATGCTTATGAGAAGATTATAGTCTTGGAAACCCTGTGGGATAGTTCTACCCTGTCCTACAGGGTGGCTCTGAGTCATAACTGACTCCACAGCAAAGGTTTTATGAGCACCTACTATGTGCTGGCTATTTGTATACCTTATCTCTTTAATTCTCACAACCAGCCCATTGCTGTTAGATTCTGTAGCGCTGATTTAGACTCATAGCGATCCCATGTGTGACAAAGTAGAAATGCCCAATAGGGTTTTCTAGGTTGTAATCTTTACACGAGCAGACTGCCAGGTCTTTCTCCCAAGAGGCCACTGTGTGGGTTCAAACCGTGAACCGTTCTGTTAGCAGCCAAGCACTTAACCATTGCACCACCAGGGCTCCTTACCAGCCCCTTAACTGTGAGTATTCCTATCCCTGGGGGACCCGGGGCTCAAAGAGGTTAAGTAACCTGGCCAGGGGCACACAGCTAGTAAGTGGTGCTGGGTTTCAGCCCAGACACACTCCAGAGCCCAGGATCCTTCCACTGTGAAGCGCTGCCTCCCAGGGAGTGGGCAAGACTTTACAGACAGATCTCTGGGCATGGCTGAGATTGCTTTGCCAGGTTAAGTGTGAGACCAAGGTGGCTGCTCAAAGGAGTTCTGGTTTGGTAAGCAACAAAGAGGCCGGTAAACCTTGTTGCCAATGCACCAGCTTCGATGGCGTCAAACCCAGGCCTGAGGCAGAGGCTGCTGGGCTGGTAAACCAAAAAAAAAAAAAAAGAAAAAAAAAAAACCCTTCGCCATGGAGTCGATTTCAACTCATAGAAACCCTACATAACACAGTAGAACTGCCCCATAGGGTTTCCAAGGAGCAGCTGCTGGATTCGAACTGCTGACCTTTTGGTTAGCAGCCTGAGCTCTTAACAACTGTGCCACCAGGGCTCCAATGGGCTGGTACTCCCCTGATATTCCAGACCCTAAGTCACCCATACAACATCGTACCAGGCACTGGGCTAAGCCCTTCAGTACTCTACGAGCAAACAGAGGTACAGACGGGTGAACAAAGTTGCCCAGGTCACCAATCAGTGCACCAGCAAGGACCAGAAGCCAGGCAATCAGGTCCCGGAGCCCTGGCCCTTAGGCCCACCACCACCCCAGCCTCTCCATCCCACACCGGAGGCAGCTGGGTGAGTTCAGAGGTGGAAACAGGACTCGGCAGCCCCAGGACTGGCAGGTAGTTCAGCCAATCGGGATGGGCCCAGAGGCTACCTGGGAATGGCCTGAGGGAGGAGTAGGTCCTGGGAACCTGAACCTGGGTGGGCAACTCCAGGATACCTTCAGACCCAGGATACAAAGCCTTTCTCCCTGCAAGTACAGAAATTCCTGCCTGGCATCCACAGGGAGTGGGGGATGAACAACATTCTCCATACTTTGCAGAAGACCAGTGGTCCCACAAGGGGCAGGGGTCAGCTCTAGGCTGGGAGCACACCCTGACCGATGATGGTGCGGTGTGGCGCCAGCTACAAGGAACCCACAACCACCACCAAGCCCTGAGGAGACCCCAAGTTGGATTCAGAAGGCCCAGCGTTATATTCCAGCTCTGCCTTTCCAGCAAAGGGGCCTGAGCCTCAGTATCCTCATCCACGAGCCAGGAATAAGGGTTAGAGTAGAGCAGGAGTTGGCAAGCTATGGCCCACATGCCGAATTTGGCACACAGCCTATTTTTTGTACCACCTATGAGCTAGGAATGACTTTTACATTTTTAAATAGCAGGAAAAAAAATCAAAGGATAATGTATGAAAATTACATGAAATTCAAATTTCAATGTTCATAAATAAGGTTGCACTGGAACACAGCCACGTCCACTGGTTTAGGTATTATCTATAACTGCTATAAGGAGCCCTGGTGGTGCAACTGTTAAGCACTCAGCTACTAACAAAAGGTTGGTGGTTCCAGCCCACCCAGTGGCTCTTTGGGAGAAAGACCTGGCGATCTGCTCCTGTAAAGATTACAGCCTAGAAAACCCTATGGGGGCAGTTCAGCTCTGTCATATGGCGTTACTATCAGTCTAAATTGACTTGATGGCACCTAACAATAACAACATAGCTGCTATACCTGGGTGGTGCAAATAGTAACGTGCTCGGCTGCTAACCAAAAGGTTGGAGGTTGGAGTCTACCCAGAGGTGCCTTGGAAGAAAGGCCTGGAGATCTGCTTCTGAAAAATCAGCCATTGAAAACCCTGTGCAGCACAGCTCTACTCTGACACGCAACGGGTCGCCATGAATCAGAGTTGACTCACAACTGGTGGTTTACGGCTGCCATTGCCCTATACTGGCAGCAGCAAAGAACTGCAACAGAAATTGAATGGCCCATGAAGCCTAAAACATTTTTATCTCGCCCACTACAGATAAGGTTTGTCGGCCCCTGGTGTGGAGGATCAAATGGTGTGCGTAACTATCTGTAAGAGGCAGACTGCAGTGAAGGCCAGGAACCCCCCCCTTAACTTGGGATCTTGCAGGAGAGAGAAATCAGCGAATTGGGACTGCAGGAATTGAAGGCACTTCATCAGGAGAGAGAAGACATACGATCCCTGCCCGCTGGCTCAGACTCTGGCTCTGCCAATGCATGGACGTGGGCAAGGGACTTCCTGGGCTTCACTCTCCTCACCTGTGGAATGGGACTCCTAATTGCATCCACTGATAGGAAGAGAAAGTGAGATCATGTGAGTGAAATAGCACAGTGCCCAGCACAGTCAGGGTGCAGTGAGCTGGAGCTGGGGTTAGCGTCTTTATCATCATCATCAATTGGCTCAGGATTTGTGGAAGGAATGAGTGGCGAGCTTTACATTTGCAGAAGAAATTAAGCAAAGAGAATGTCCCTCAATATTATGCTTCCTTGTATATGTTTTCTGTAAACACTGGAAAGTCTGCGGATGCTTTCCTGCTAGAGTGTGCTCACAGGAGGGCTTTGAGATCCCCAGGGGATTCTTATGCATAACTTCCCAGGAACTTGTTAGAAATGTAAATTCTCAGCACGAACTTGTTAGAAACGGAAATTCTCAGTAGGGGGTTGAACCAGACCGAACTGGTTGGAAGCGCTGGCTAACAGCCAAGGAGACCAGAGAATGAGGTGCAAACACATCTTATTGGCAAATTCCACAACAGTCACTGCTAGCTGTGTGAGCAGCACAGACAGAGGCACTGATTTTATATTATACTTTACAGCAGGTAAATTGGCCATTTCTAGGCACCTACAACTTAAACTGATCAAACATATAATTTTATGCTAAATCTGTTTGTACAATGAAATTATTATACTAATATTTTACTAATTTCTACTTATCCTTCAACACAGCTCAGATACCACCTCCCTGAGGAAACCTCCTACATATACATATGTTGTTAGGGGGACTTCTTCTCTACTTCCTTCTGACAGTATTGGATACTGGAGCAGCTCCCAGCACAGGCTCTAGCATCAGCCTGCTTGGGTTTGAATTCAGCTCCATCATCTCCTAGCTATGTGACTTTGGACAAGTGATTTAACCTCTGTGAGCCTCACTTTTCTCATCTGTAAAACGAGGTAGATAAAACTTATTTTGCGGATTGGTCTAAGCATTAAGTTAAATAATGTAGGTAAAATGCCTGGCACATGGTAGGCTTTTACAAATGGCAGTTACTATTATAACTCAATGTGCTATACAGTAAATTTCTATTTACTCGTCCATCTCCCCTGTGGACTGTGACACCTTGAGGGGAAGGACTATGTGTTGTTTATGCAAATAAAGTAGGCTCCCAACAAATGTCGCTGAATAAAAGATTGGATGGATGAATGGATGGATGGATGGGTAGATGGTAGATGAGTCGGTAGTTGGAGGGGTGGATGGAAGAAGGATACATGACGAATGAGTGGATGGATGGGTAGGTGGATAAATGAGTGGATGGGCAGGCGGATAAATGAATGGATGGGTGGGTGGATAAATGAATGATGGGTGGGTACAGAGGTGAAGGGAGAAATGGAAAGAAGGAGGGAGCGAAGGACTTCCACAAAGAACACCAGGACTTTCAAGTGCTCAGCCACCTAAAGGGAGTCTGAGATTCACTGCCTCTGAGTTGGCTGAGGTTCTACTTTCGTGCCTCTTCTGTCCTCACCCAAGGGGTGGTCGGGTGGGACGTGTAGGGTGAGCACCCTGAGTGAGCTCTGAATGCCAGGACCCACTGCCAAGTCTCCTACACTTTCCCTCTCTGAGTCCCTGGGTACAGGAGGTAGGTTGAAGGAGGGGCTGGTCTCCTCAAGAGAACCTCTTCTCTGTGTTGGGTCCCCCCATGAGCTTGCACCTGAGGACGGAGAAGGAGCCTTCCCAGCCTGACGTGAGGACCCTGCAGTTCCTGAGTAGCTGTGGGAAACCGAGTGGGGCAGGGGCCACAGCACCGCCTGGCCCAGAATCAGCAGCCCCTGCTCTGACAGGACACGCGTACATGACTAGCACAGGTGACTACCCTCCCTGGGCCTGCCTCCTCACCTGTCAGACAATGGGCTTAGACCAGAGCCGCGTTTTCCAGAGTGGTTCCTCAGAACACAAGTCCCAGAAGACGCACTGTTAAGAACAAAACGTTTTGCTGTCACCAGGTTTGTGGAGCATCAATTCTCCTCCCCCAAAGAGTCACCTCACATGAGACCATTAAAGTCTCTGAGACGTCCTGACCGAGTTATTTCCAAACTTCCTGGAAACCATTTTCCACTTAATAGCTATTAACACCCTGTGGAACACAACTTAGGAAACACTAAATCAAACACTCTTGAAGGTCCCTCCAGGCCTGGCACTCCAGGGCTCTAAGTGCTATAGGATTCAGAGACAGGGGGAGTCAATGGCCCCTGGACCTTCCAAATGGCTCAAGCTGAACACCTAAGAGCCATGCTCGGGCCTCCCCCTTCCTCGCCCGACACAGCCAGAGTGGGTCTCCAATCCACCACTTCTCTGGCCTCGTGCCACCACCTCCTCCTAAACAAGTGCGGCTTCTTGGCTAGTCATTGGTTTCACTCCTGTCCTCAACGGTCCCTTATCCACACAGCAGGGAGGAAGGCTCTATCAAAATGCAAACTGATCTTGCAGCTCTCCAGTGGTGATCTAGCCTATGTATAAATCCGGACTCCTATGTGGCCGGCAGGGCCCTGCCAGGTTTGCCCTCTCCTGTCCTCTTTACTCACCACCTCCCCCAGCCCTCATCTGCATACTTGTTCTGCCCTCTTTCCTAATGTCCCTGTATCCCAGGCCCCTTCTCACCTCAGCACTCTTCCCCCAAAGAACCCTGGCGGGCTCCTTCTCTTCTGGCCTCAGCCCAGAAGGCTAAGCTCCCTCCTTCTGGGGCCTTCCCTTAACACCTGATTTTCACAGTGGGCTTCAACTCCAGCTGCATGCTAGAATCAAAAATTGCCAGTGCCCAGCCCACTCTGCACCAGGTCATCAGAATCCTTAGGGTGGGGTGGGCTTCTCCTGCAACAGTGACATAAGGAGCAGCCAGGTTTGACACCTGGGTCTGTCACTCTGCCCGTGTGTCCCTTCCCAGCCCTCAGCACAGCTCACTGCAGCTAACTTACTTGTCACTAGTGTGCCTGTATCCCCCATTAGAATACAGGCTCCTTGAGGGCAGGGGCTGTGCCTGTCTTGTTCACTCCACCTGCCCCCATTCCAGAGCCTAGAACAGTACCTAGTACATAGTAAGTGTCATGGATTGAATTGTGTCCCCCAAAAATATCTGTCAACTTGGTTGGGTCACAATTCCCAGTATTATATAATTGTGTTCCATTTTGTAATCTGATGTGATCTCCTTATGTGTTGTAAATTCAATCACTATGATCTAGTAAGATGGATTAGTGGCAATTATACTGATGAAGTATACAAGATTGGATACTGTCTTAAGCCAATCTCTTTTGAGACATAAAAGAGAGAAGCGAGCAGAGACACATGGGAACCTCATACCACCCAGAAAGCAGTGCCAGGAGCAGAGGGCGTTCTTTAAGGTTCCTGCACAGAGAAGCTCCCAGACCAAGGGAAGACTGATGACATGGACCTTCCTCCAGAGCCTACAGAGAGAGAAGGCCTTCTCCTGGACTGGAGCTGATGACCTGAATTTGGACTTGTAGCCTACTGGACCGTGAGAGAATAAATTTCTCTTTGTTAAAGCCATCCACTTGGGGTATTTTTGTTATAGCAGCACTAGAAGACTAAGACGGTAAGTGCTCAATACGTATTTGTCGGAAGAAAGAAAGAAAAGGGGGTCTGGAAAGGTCAGGAAAGAATTCTCAGGGGAGCCAAAACAAACCAACTTTGGTTCTGCGATAGGAGGTTTCAGGCCTTAGAAATCCCATGGCTTGGGTAGAGTGGTGGGGTAGACGGTTGCTTTCCCCAAGATTGGATGTTAACCTCTTTTGGGTCAAAAGAGCTGATGGAAGCAGTGGACCCTCTCCCCAGAAAGATGCATGTGCACAAACAGGCATCCCGTATTCATAGTTTCAGGGCATCACTGACCCTCAGGGGCCCATTGAGGGGCCAGGAGGTTCTGGCTTCCCCCATCTCCTAAATGTCTTGTTCACCTCCCAATGTCCCCAAACTTGGCTTCACATTGGAATTCCCTGGAGATCTCTAAAATATACTGATGCCCAGGCTCCACCCCCAGAGATCCTGATTTCATTGGTTTAGGGTGCGACCCTGGCAGCAGGGTTTTTTAAAGCTCCCCAGGGAATTCTAAAGTGCAGCTGCATTGAGAGCCACTGCCATTGTCCCTGTCTCCAGCACCGCCCAGTCCCTCTGCTCCCGACTGGGGTGCAGGCAGGCCTAGGTTTCCTGGTGTAGCGGGGCCTGGCCTGGAGACTCTGCCTAGCACTGTGGTGTCTAGAAAACAAGTGACGCATGAAGCTCCCTGTGCCTTGGCTCCACCCCTGTGTACCTGGTGGCTCATCTCCCCTGGGTCATTTATCCCAGAGCAAGATCACTGTGCAGGAGAGGACCTTTGAGATCACTGCATTTTTCAGAGGGGCCCAGAGAACACGAGACTTGCTGCAGGTCACACAGCAAGCTTGGGGCTTGGGTGGGCAGTGGAGGACTTAGAGATGCCTAGTCCAGAGCTCTTCTCTCTCCACCTGCTGTCCTGTCCTGCTCACTGGGGCCTCTGCATGGAAAGGTATCAGGAGCACCAGACTCAGAGTCACACAGCCAGCCCTTGGTTCTTACCCCTGGCTCTGCCATGTGTCAGCCACACGACCTTGGGAAACACTGCAGAGCTGCTTCCTTATCAGTGAATGGGGGATACTAAACCCTCCTACCCCACACAGAGTGCACGTGTACTGCGATCAGGCTAGCGCATAGTAGGGCTCAGTCCTCCAACTCTCCCTGTCTGAAGATGCTGTAGCTGCATCTTACCAGCTGTGTGGTCTTGGACAACCACTGTGCCTCAGTTTTTCCATCTGTAAAATGGACTTAATAAAGGGGTATTAAAAAAAAACAAAACCAGATCTGTTGCTGTCAAATCGATTCTGAGTCATTGTGATCCTATAGGACAGAGTAGAACTGCCCCATAGAGTTTCAAAGGAGCGCCTGGTGGATTTGAACTGCCAAACTTTTGGTTAGCAGCCATAGCTCTTAACCACTCTACGACCAGGGTTTGCCCCTAATAAAGGGTTATGGTGAGGATTAAATGAGTTAGGATCTGTAAAGTGGAGCCCTGATGGTGCAGTTGTAAAGCGCTTGGCTGCTACCCAAAAGGTCAGCAGTTCAAACCTACAGCTGCTTCATGGGAGAAAGACGTGGCAGTCTGCTTCCGTAAAGATTACAACCTTGGAAACCCTATGGGGCAGTCCTACTCTGTCCTATAGGGTTGCTATGAGTCAGATTTGACTCGATGGCAGTTGGTTTGGTTTGGTATCTGTAAAGTACTCGACAAAAAAAAAAAAAAAACCAAACGCGCTGCCGTTGAGTCCATTCCAAGCAAGTGTCAAATAAATGCTACCGATTCTGATTACTATTATCTAGAAGTTGTTGATTTCCTGGGCAAAAGCCAGACGCCCTCTGGAGGCTTGATCTAGCCTCCAGATATGTGCCTGGCCTTGGCTGGGCCTCTCAAGGAGGGCTGCTGCCCCCTGCATGGGCGGGGCCTCTGTCCTGCAGATGGCGTGGCATCTGCCCTCTGATGGGTGGGATCTCCGTCCCTCTGAGCTGTGTTACTGTCCAGCCAGTTCGGTGAGTTGGGCACCCGATCCCGTGGGAGCTCAGCCTGCTAGCTTTGGCAGTAAGTCGAGTGAGAAGAGCTAGCCTAGCTGTTCTCTGGAAGCCAGCCCAGCTGCAGGCAAACCCACCTGCATGCTGGTTCCTGGCCACCCTGCTTTCTGGTTCTCTGGACTTTGTCCTGAAAGAGGCTGGTCACATGTGGCTGTGTTTGTTTTCACGTTTCACAGGTAATGTGTTTCCTGAAACCCTGGCTGATTCCAGGAGCTGGCTTTTTGACCTCCCAACTATCTTGTTTTTTAATCACGGTTCTTACCTTTTTTGTTGTTGTTAAAACCAAAAAAAAAAAAAAGAAAGAAAGAAGAAAAAAAAAAGGCAGTTATCTGTGCAACAGGAAGATTGTGAGGTTCTACAGCATGATTAGGATCTTGAGTTTCTTTAAGACATAGGTTTGAATCTTAGCTCTGCTTCCTACCTTGAGCAAGTGAGTTAGGAGCCTCTCTGAGATCCAACGCTCTCATTTTGAGCATGGGGAACACTGGAAGGACCCATAGGTGAGAAATGCTGGAGGACTAAGCTATGGCATGAAAGAGCTTTGGGGGCACAGTTAGCTACTCACAACTCAGGTGAGGGACCACCACCAACACCACCATGGATTGGAAGAAACACGTCCACATCACACTCTCCCAGGAATCACAGCGTCTCAGGGCCCAAGGGGCCTCCTGTTTGTCTTATAGATGGAACTCGAGGCCTGGTGAGGAACAGCCCCTGTCATGTGATCCCATGAGATGGTGTAACAGGTTCCCATTCTCCTGAGGACCTTAATACTCTGAAACTGGGAGCTGGGGTGGATACCTCAAATATGGGGGAAGGAGGCTAGGGGTACAAGAGGAATATAGGCCAGCAGCCACCCCTGGCCAGACTACAGCAGAATAATTGCACTTTACAGTTTATATCATGCCATTATCCACTGTATCTCACTTCATCTCTAAAAACCCCACTAACTGAGATATTATTATCCCTCTTTAACAGATGGGGGCCCTGGTGGCACAGTGGTTAACCAAAAGGTCGGCAGGTCAAATCCACCAACCACTCCTTTGAAACCCTATGGGGCAGTTCTACTCTCTATTGGGTTGCTATGAGTCAGAATCGACTCGACAGCAGTGGGGTTTGGTTTTAACAGATGAAGAAAGTGAGACCCAGTGACTTGCCTAAGGCCACACAAGTAAGTGGCTAGGCCAGGATTAAAATTCAGCTCTGACTCGAGACCAGAGCTCTTTCCTCCTCACCTGTTGCCAGAGTGAGGGAGGTGGGTTGTGTAGCACGCACACCCCACCCCTCCGCACCTCTGCCTGCTCAACCTCCCATCCTGCCCC